ACTTCTTTGTTGAAATAAACACACAGTTTGTTCAAAAGGTTCAAAGGTTGAGATCTGATAATGATGGAGAATTTTTTAGCCATGCATGCACAGAGTTGTTAAAGATCATGGTATTGTACATGAAAGTTCTTATCCATACACACCACAACAAAAATGACGTGGTGGAAAGAAGACACAGACACATCTTAGAAACAACCAGGGCTATTAAGTTTCACAGTGGTTTACCAAATAAGTTTTGGAGTTTGTGTACTGAGTCTGTTGTATATGTTCTCAATAGGATTCCTCCAACTGTATTGAATGAAAAATCACCTTCTTAGATGTTGTACCACAAACTTCCTTCTTTTATGCATTTAAGAGTTATTGGTTGCTTGTGTTTTGCCACTAACCTTACTCAGAAGGATAAGTTCAGTCCTAGAGCTGTGAAAGCTGTATTAGTTAGATATAGTGCACATCAAAGGGGTATAAGTTGTATGATCTTAAAACCAGATCTTTGTTTGTAAGCAGAGATGTAGTGTTCATGGAAAATTCATTCCCATTTCAGAAGATTCACAGCATATCACTCACTTCTCCTATGATGACTTAATTTATCATTCACATATTCCAGTGAATGATTTATTCAGTTCCCCTAGTGAGGTGGTTCTTGCAGCAATAAGTGTTAAAGATATTGAACTTAAGCCTCCATCTGAAGTTGTGCCAGATAATATAGAACTTGAGCCTCCATTTGAAATTGTGCCAAATAATGTATCTGCAGAAGAGAGTAGGAGGTTAGCCAGAGGTATAAAATCTCCTATCTGGCAGAAGGATTATGTGCTAAGGGCTGGTTCTAACAATTGCTTGTACTCTATAGCTGACAACATAACTTACATTGGTTTATCCACAAATTATCAATGTTTTATAGCCAAGTTCTCCATAGATACTGAACCTGCCAAATATTCATAAGCTGCTACTGATGATAGATGGATACTTGCCATAAAGAATGAGAAACAAGCTTTGGAGGACAACAAGACATGGGAGATCGTCACACTTCCTAAGGGAAAAAAGGCTATAGGGTGTTGATAGGTGTATAAAATCAAATATAAAGTAGATGGCGAAGTGGAAAGGTCTAAGGCCAGACTTGTAGAAAAAGGGTATAGTCAAAAAAAGGATTGGATTACCAGGAAACCTTTTCCCCTGTAGTCATGATGGGAACTGTCAGGGGTTTTATTTCAGTGGCAGCAACTAAGGGGTGGAAATTATATAAAATGGATGTGTATAATGCATTCCTACAAAGGGATCTATATGAAGAAATATATATGACAATTCCAGAAGTTTTTTTAAGACAAAAGAGGACTGATGGGAAAGTTGTCACGACCCGAGCCTACACCCTGGACGTGGCCGGCACTCGAAGACCATTACTGGTCCCCAAGCGAACCCTCATCCTAGCTGACTACAAGTGGAAAACTGATTCAAGCATACAAAGCTTAAAAACTGAAATAAAATTCAATAACCCAACTTTGTACAATTTTAACTCAAATGAAAAACTTAGAATAAAAATAATATATTCAACTCGCCATAAAATAGGCAACTTAAGTCTTTAAAATATTTAATAACAATAAATGAATAATACAAACTTCTCAACTATACTGACTATCTATGAAGCCTCTAACTGATAATGATGGAAGTCGGGACAAGAGCCACGACATCTTGACTAAACTGAAAAGTACATGAAATTCTCCGAAAATAAGGAGGCTCACCATAGCTAACTTGAACTTTCGGATGTAGCAACGAAGCTCATGTTGATGATCCTGAATACATGTGTCTGCATCATGAAAAGATGCAGATAAAATGGCTCAGTACGTGAAATGTACGAGCATGTAAGAGGAATTCTAAATCATACACATAAGCTTGAAAATAATCTAAAAGGAAACTGAAGAACTTACCTGGCTCAACTCAACTCAACATAACTGAACTCATTTCAATATAAAGAAGTTTAAAACAAGTGCAATATAAAGAAAAGGAAAACTGTTTAAAACAAGATGTTAACTCATAATCATAATATCATAAAAGGCATAACATGCTCCCTCTCAAAGTTTACTTGTGCAATGCATAAATGAAGCCCCATATCCTTATTCATACTAAGCAGAACCCTTTGCGGAACCATGCAAATACTGATGTGGGAGTTTCTCTAACCGACAATCATCACTTAAAAGCTATAGTGATGATACAACACTTTACCTCACATTGCCAAGGACCATCTTATACCTTGCCATCAGTATAAGGCCTAACTGAACTTAGTGGATCCACTAGACTATGCGAAAAAGATTCATCTAAAAAGTATGACCCTTTTCTACCCATGATGGCTACATGGTTTTCATGGAGACTTGAGTTAATATGAAACTCGCATCCCCACATCGGTGCTCAATAATACTCCCAAAATATAATATTAGTTCTTTATGTTTAAAACATACTTCTTTCTGTGATTTGAGATAATTGCTTAAAAACTTAGCTCAAAGGCTATCTTGGAATTCAAGGTTTTCTCTCTTGCTTTATTGTGAAAGCAGTTACTCTTTAACTGAAAACTAGCCCAAAGGCTCTTTACTGAAAAACTAGCTCAAAGGCTCGTTTGGGAATACTTCGTATTTAAATGTGAAAACATTTTCAACTCTTTTGGGAATATTTAGTCCCCATATACTTTTGAAGAAATGAACTTCAACTTTACTCTTACTCTTTACTCAACTTCAAAGCTTAAGTCTTAAAACAAAGTTTAAACATTTGTAAAAGACATCTTAAAATATGGTTCATGCCGAATGATGGACATGAACGACTCAATGCAAGGGTTTCAATAACCATAGATAGAACTCAATACTTGGAACTCAAGAACTTCAATGATACTACTCATCTCAAGATTTTTCGACTTATAGTGTTCATGCGAAATTATGAGCATGAACAATTCAACTCATGGACTTCATGGGTAATAGGTAATAGTCCCATGATTTAGATTATAATCTCGGAAGGGTTAGGAACTTGATACTCAAGACTTAGAACTTAAAGATACTACTTCTTTCAAAAATACTAAATTGATGGAGATCATGCGAAAGTTATGGGCATGAACGACTTGACTCAAGGTTCAAAATATCAATAAGGAACTCAGGTATACGACTCTTCTCATTCTCATACTTACTTACTTAAAACTTAACTCAATCGATGGTGGATCTCAAAAGATTCACAATTAAACTCAAAGACTTTCTTGAACTCTACTCTTAAATCTCTCTTGAATGTGAATTGTGAATTCAAGAGTTATGGTTCATGATATGAAGGATCTAGGTGATAGTGTAGACTCATGAGTACATTCTCCTTACTCTCATGCTCACTTACTCGAGTCTTGAAACAAGTTATTAGAACTTGTAGAAGACTCCTCAAAAGGACTTAAAGGACTTTCTTAGAATGTTCGAAAGAATTCTCAAAAACTTAACTCTTAACTCTATCTTGAACTTGAATTATGGATTCAAGGTTGTGATTTGTGACAGGAAAGATCTCATGATATTTAGGATTGATTTTAGATAGCTAAACATGAGAAAAGATAAAAAAAATTCACTGCTTGGAAGCTAATCTGCGACGCAGAGACGCAATAAAATAATTGGTCGCGAAATAACTTTTGACGCAGAGAGGTCCATGACCTCTCCGCGACGGGAAGACAACTTTATGAAATGGGGAGGCAGGTCCGCGACGCAGAGCTAAGTGCCAAATTTACCCGACTTTTTCCTTCTTCATTTTCTAACCCCAATTCACCTAAACTCGATTCTTTTACTCAATGTTTCTTTAGATTTAGATAACCATCACATGTACACAAGAATATAACTCAAAACTACTCTATAAATCGAAACAATAATCTCAAGAACTCCTAAATCTCAGCAAAATTCAAGAATGTAAGCAAATTCAAGAACACATATCAATAACATCAGATTTTCAACTTTCTAGAATGAACTTAACGCTGAAATTTACGTGATTGGCGTGTGGGTGAACAAACCCAACACTATGGAAGCTTGCATACCTGAAAGAACCATTTTTTTGCAGCACTTGAAGGAAAATCTCGAGAGATGAACCCTAGCCTTAGCGTTTCTTGAATTTCTTGAGCGCAGAATCTTTGGAGTGAATGAGAGGGTTTAGATTTAAGAAAACTAATTTTCTACACGTTTAGGGCAATTAAGATGACCTCCTAAGGGTTTTTAGGACTAAAATACCCCTAAGGAAATAATTAAAACAAGCTGGGAGTCGGAAAGATCTTTCAGCAGGGAGTAAGGTCCGTGTTAGCTCCGCGTCGCGGAGCTTCTGCCAGGTTTGCGCGACGTTAGTAAGTACGTCAAACTTTTTACTCAGAGCTCAGAATTTAGCAAACTTGGTGGAGTTGGAAAGAGGACCTGAAGGGCTTTAATTTTCTATCTTGAATCTCACCTAACTCATCTTGTAGTAGGAGTTATGGTCGTTTGAAGTTGACTTAAAACTTAAGAAAAACTTAGGAATGACTTGAATGAACTCTCTTCTTCTTGGAACTCAAGTTGCTACAAATAGTAACCTTAACACTCAAGAAATTTTAAATTTCTTGCAAAAATCTCACTCACTACAAAGAAAGGTTCAAGTCTTAGCTCAAAAGTTTTCCGGGGTGTTACAAAAGTGTGCAGGCTTTTAAAGTCCTTGTATGGGCTCAAGCAAGCCTCTAGACAATGGAACATAAAACTCACTAAAGCCTTAACTTCAGCTGGTTTTCATCAAAGCACAAGGGACTACTCTTTGTTCATTAAGATGGATGGTGACAAGATTGTAGTAGTCATGGTCTATGTGGATGACTTGCTACCTACATGAAATCATCATTCTATGATTCAACACACCAAAGAAACACTACATACAGCTTTCAAGATCAAGGACTTGGGAGAACTTAGGTACTTCTTGGGTATTGAGTTTGCAAGAAGTAATGAGGGGTATTGATGCATCAGATAAAATATTCACTGGAGTTAATAGCAGACATGGGACTTGCAGGTGCTAAAACTATCAATACTCCTATGGATCAGAATCACAAACTCACTACTGTTGAGTTTGATCAACATATGTCATCAAATTCTGAGGACTTGGTGTTAGAAGATCCTACTGGATATCAAAAACTTATTGGGAGGCTTCTATATCTCACAACTACCAGACAAGACATTGCTTTTGCTGTGCAGAGTTTGAGTCAATTTATGCATTCCCCCAAAAGGTCTCATTTGGAAGCAGCCATGAGACTAGTTAGATATGTGAAGCATGCACCAGGGATGGGAATAATGATGTCTGCCACTGGTGATGATCTTCTTAAGGTGTATTGTGATGTTGTTTGAGGTGCTTGTATTAATAGCAGAAGGTCTATTGCTGGTTATCTAGTACATTATGGCAATTCTCCTATTTCTTGGAAGTCTAAGAAGCAGGCCACAGTCTCTAGGAGTTTAGCAGAGGCAGAATACAGAGCTATGGCATCTTCAGTTGCAGAAGTAATTTGGATGACAGGATTGTTCAAGGAGCTTGGAGTAAATATCAAAGTTCCTGTCACTTTGTTTTTCTGACAGCAAATCAGCCTAGCAAATAGCTGCTAATCTTGTGTTTCATGAAAGGACTAAGCACATAGATATAGATTGCCATTTTACTAGAGATAAAATCCAAGAAGGGTTGATTGTCACTGCCCATTTGTCTTCATCTGAGCAGCCTGCAGACTTGTTCACTAAAGGTCTTGGGAGAGCCTCACATACTTATTTGATGTCCAAGCTGGGAATGAAGAATGTCTTCTTAGCTCCAAGCTTAAGGGGGAGTGTGAATGAGATTGGTAAATGCATCAATGTGCCTTAGTCTTCACATTAACTAGTTAGTTAGAAGTTAGTTAATGGTAATTACAAATTAAGCTAATTAGTGAGAATTAGTTTGTTAGAAAGTTAGTTAGGAATGTGTGTATTAAGCATTTGTTGTTAGCTGTGTGTATAAAAGGACAGCTCATTGTATTCAGTTGAAGCATCAATGAAAATATCTTCTCTTTTCTTATCTCTTTTGATTTCTCTTTGTGTATCTTCATTGTTGAGATGTTAATTCATTCAACTTCACAGATTCCTTGATGTGTCGTAAGGCCAATTAATGTAGTACTTAAATTAGAAAGAAAAAAATAGGTCAAATATTTAACAAGATAACGAGAAATTTACATCGATTGATATGCTCTTTATATAATGTGGCAATTAATTCACCATTAAAAAAAAGTTCACCAAATTAACTATGTCATCTAAAGGCATCAATTTTCTACAATATAGTACCTCTTTGTGGTTGCAACGACTAAATTGCTAAAGAAATTTTCAAATGAAACAAAGAGGACTAAGACATCTGAGTTATCTGTATTCACATCTTCTTTTTTTTCTAAAAAAAAAAAAAAAGCAAAGATAACTAACATTTGAATTTAACAAGGATGATGATATTTTCGAGTCTGAATATTTTTCTTGTAAATTAGCGTTATAATCCATCGTATTATAGCCACTTACTTACGTTTCAATCTATGAGAACATCGTAGTTATTTGAAATTTTTACGCCTTTTTTTTTTAATATGCAGATACATTAAAACAATATTGTAAGAGTAATAAAATAATTTATAAAATAGCTATGTAATTGCGGATAATCTGACAAGAATCTAAGGTCATGGACTAGTAGCCCGAAACCATTCTAATAGAGTTTTTTTTTTTGGTTGTTCATCCGGTGTCCGGAGCCCACATTGGAGCTCCAACGAAATCCGAATCGCGCACTGCATGACCCATTTGGGGGTGGCGCTTCCAACTGGATTTTCTCAATACCTTGGACTCTAACTCGAGACCTCTGGTTAATGGTGAAGCACTCCCACCAGTGCACCACAACCCATGTTAGTATTCTAACAGAAGTTTAATATGTTATCAAGTAGCATGTGGTTATCACTTACTCCATCCATATCAAAATGAGTGACCTGTTCTTATAACTCCATCTGTTTCAAAATGAATGACCTACTTTTCTCCATAGTTTATTTATAAAAGAATGACCCCTAACCTTTTTTGACAATATTTTAATTTAAACTTTCCACGTGACATGTTTAATGCAACAAGACTAAAATACGTTTTGGTAAATTTGATATAACTTTAATTTAGGACCACAAGATTGAAAAATCGTCTTTATTTGTTTAAACTTCGTATCATGTTAAACTAGACCATTCTTTTTAAAACAAAGAGTGCATTAGTTTTTGTTTTTTTTTTAAAAAATATTCGCCTGTCAGAGTAGAGTATCAAATTTTTAAAAGAGAAACATCATGAATTCATGATAGTACGTAACTATTCATGCATTTTACTAATATATTGTCTCAACGGAAATCTTATTAAAAAAAAAAAAAACTAAAAAACTATAGCAACATAGGGAAGGGGTAGTAGGAGTAATAAAAGAGTTTATAAAATAGCTAATTTATGTAGCCGACACACAATTATTAGTATGTTAGCATAGATATTTGATACTACACAGACTAGGCAACTAACCCTTAGCCCAAATCTACTATGGTAAAATGAGGCGATTTGTAACCATGTTAGAATTTATAAAATTGTGATCTTTAATTTTGTCATATTAAAAATGCAAGAGTCGTTGTATGTAGGAAGGAATAGTTAGTTAATATCAAGCAAATTAAATTGCCAAATTTGAATGCCTCCCTGAGTTGTCCTACCTATTACATTAATTAATTGACTCCTTAGAAGTTAGAAGCCATTTTGTCTAGCCATGATGTCTTGTATGTTAGCCGGCCACCAACTAGAGCCCAGAGTAGCCTAGCTACGCGTAAAACTTACTCGCACCGGATGTATACACCATTTCAATACAAGCATGATATGTTTTTAAATTTATAGTTCATTTTACTTAACCTTAATTAATTAACATGTGTTTTATTGCATTAAATCACATAATAATAGAAATTGCATTAGTTTGGTATATACACCCGGTGAGGGTAAATTTTTTCCACCTATATAGCTACCTTAATCCCAACCCTATTATTGCACTTTTACTCTTTTCGTCCACTTTTAATTGTCATGTTTTGCTTTTCAAAAGTCAAATTGACTAATTTTCAAAGTTAACTTAGATTACATTAATTCAATATTTTATACAAATAATTTAGATATTCAAAAAATATAAGAAAAGTACTATGAATTGCAATTTTTTGCATATCAATATGATAAAAAAAAAAAGTACATCGTAAAATGTTAGTCAATTTTTTATAAGTTAACTCTAAAAAAGAAAACCATGACAATTAAAAGCTGATAGAGAAAATAATAACCTAAACCTATATATATAAATAATATAATCCTTTCCAAATTGAATAATATTTTTCAAAATAATTTGATTTGAACTTTCCATTTTATGACGACCCTTTATAATTACATCGTTGTTATTTCATGTTCCACACTAAGAAAGTTGTTTCAAATGTTCTTTGATAATATACATAGTTAAGATCATATATCATTTCAAAATTTCAAATTTTACACTCAATTAAACTATGTTATATAAATTGAAATGAGAAAAAATAATTATAAGAAGTAAATTTGCCAAAATTGGATGTCATCCACATAGTTGTCCTAATTAAGAGCAACTCCTACCTATTTACTAAAATTGGATGCCTCCCATACATAGTTGTCCTCCCTCTCTAGTCCCTATGTATATACATATAAAAAAATAAGTACCTTATTTTGTGTAGCCTACACATATATAGTCCCAAATTAAACCAACTATGGCGCTACACTATATTTCCTATGATTCTATGACAATAGTTTAATATTACAATTTTTAAAAGCTGTGGAGAAATATTTCTGGTCCCTCTTTTTTTATATTTATTTGAAGAAGAACAAAGTATAGGTTATATTAGCCGTTTAATAGGAACAGTACTGGCAATCACAGGATAATAATCCATAAGTACACACTTAAATAACGGCATTAGTTCATTTTGTATACTATAAAACATTTAGCATTTCAGTTTCGTCCTAATAAGTAAGTACAAATAGAACATCTAAGAATACTTCAGGGAATTAAGATTACAAATGATTTTGTGACCTCTTTGGGATTTGGGCTGATCCAATATCTCACTCTTCTGGCCCAATTCAACGTCTAAATTGTGCAGAATAACAAACATGTAAACCATAATATTAAATGCTATAGCTATTGTTTAGGAAAATTCTAATTCGCATCTATAGTATCACCCAATCTTGTTATTTGTCTGATTTGTATAAATTCAGAATTTGTATAATTCGGTCTTTATAGTGTAAATCCAGAATTTTGTATATGCTTACCCTAACTATTTGCATACGATTCTTTTATGAAAAACTCAAAATAAATTATCATGTTTGTATATTGACAAGCGAAATATACAAACCGAGTTCTGAAAAATTCCTAAATGTATAAATACAAAATTTGTATATACTTATCCTATTTGTATATTCGCAAGAGAAATATACAAACGGACAAAACTATATAATCACAACCTCCATAGCAAACGAAACTATAGCTATGGAGCGTAATTATCGAAACTATAGTTATAGAGTCTTATTATGTCTATTATGTTTGTTACTTCTGAAATTTTGTCAATTAATTTTGTACTACGGAATATAATGTTGCAAAATGTGGCATGATTTTACTCAACTCTAAGATTAAAAAAAAAAAACTAACGAAACAATATATATACAATGCTTAATTTTTATACATAGAATAGTTCTCTTTAAATTTTACCAAACAAATAATATATTTTCGACTAGTCGATGGCTCTTATTCGTGGCAATGAAACTCTTTGGAACACGTTTGATCATATCACCTTTTCTTTATATTTAACCCAAAAACATCCTTAGAGTTTGTGTAATTACATAAAACTTTTTCATTGATAAAGTACACATTAGCGCGCGCATATATATACATATATACACATATATTCTCCTCATTTGTCTCTTATTTTTCTTGTATGTACTAAACTACTAATCTCTTTCCTTCCTTTCACTGATTGTCAAACGTACCTTACCTTAATCGGCCCACATACCAGCAGTTGGGCCTAGCCTTTTTGTGGACGATGAGTAAAATGCGGGCCATTGACTCCTTTAGCCAACAAGAGGCAATTATGAAAAGTTGGGCCTCACCTTCTTGGGGACGACGAGAAAGCGGATCATTTAGAGCTCGTTTGGATTGACTTAAAGAAAGTAGCTTTTAAATCAAAAATGAAAAAGTCAAATGTAAATAACTTTTTAGTCAAAAAATAAAAAGTAGGAAGAGACCTACTTTTGATTTTTGAATCATTTTAATTCATGTTTTACCTTGCCACACACTTTCTTACTCTTTTTGCCAACAAGAGGTAGTTGATAAGACATAGCCCCGACAGTTGATACCTATCCTCATGACATGTTTTATGAGAAAATTTAAGTGCTTAATAGGTGGCTTGAGGCTTTGAACTAAATTAAAATGCGATAAAATGAGTTGAATTAATAAATGGTTCTTTTTGTCAAACTTTGTCCAAAAGCTAGTTTGTTTGAAATGTGTTGAGTTGAGATGAATC